GTTGTAGAGCTTTAAAATGTCAAGTTATCAAAAAGTCAAAGATTAAAATATCACCATTCTTTTTTCTTTCAATTTCACGAGAAAAAATGGTATTGGATTCATCTCAAGTCAGAACATTTTGTTGTGGATATAAAGATCAAGTTGTTAATCTGAAGAATAATATAATCTTTATTCGATTAAAAGTGTCCATACTGGATATCGAGATTATGGAAATACAACACAAAAGTTCTCAGCTCTGAATAGAGTCTTGTCTGTGAAAAAAATCTGTTTAACACTTCAATAGAAGAATTGTACAATTTGCTTCTTTTTACTAAAGGCTTTCTAAAGAGCTATACAAAGTTGAAATCCAATGACTGTAAGCAGGTCTAAATATAGATTTAGTTTAGTAGACGTAAAATAGGGCATTCAGGCAGTATGCCTGATGACTCAGGCAAAAGGTGCAATATCCCCGCTTTCACCTTAACGTGAGGGGCATGCAATAGAGAAAAGTAAAAGAATTTAACCAATATTTGTTCAGTTACGTCCAAAAAACATTAGGGGGGACACCTGGAATAGGTTGAAATTATTGAATTTGAAAGAAGATTGTTTAAGTTTAAATTAAGAGGATAAAAGTGTGGATTGTATAGTATGGAGACCCAAGAGGCCTGGGGCCCAAGGCTAACCATGTTCAATAAATTGTCCAATATTAGATTCTGCAGCAAAGCATTATAGAAAACACAAACCTTGATTCAACCAAAATTATTTAAATTGTAAATCTCAAAAGAAAAAATATAAAAATTAATGACACGAAACGACCAAAGATCAAAAGCATTGACGAAACCATGAAATGAAAGAAAAAACTGTAAATATCCAAATGGGTAATAAAAGTTCTATCTGTAAGAATGCAAAATGTCAAAGTAAGGAATTATATTTGATGTTTTTTTGACATTCTATGACAGATTAATTATTTTATTAATTTATTAATAAATGAATAATTGACATTAAAAAGTTGATTTCAAAGAAAAATAAAAAAATTTAGAAAAATGAATTTATGATTGTTGGTACCTAAAGAATGAGAAACTAGTTGTAAATGTGCAAAATCTAGATTTTGAAGAGGGCAGGCTTGGGTTACTAATAGTGCGTAAAAGTCGGGATATCAAATAAAAAAAACTAAAGACAGAAAAAAGTTTGAAATATGTCGGTGGAATAGGGTTTAGGGGGGGGGGGCTACATAAGCATAAGAATAAAATGAAGAATAGAGGAAAAAATTGTGATGATTCCATATTAAAAGCAAAAAAACATTTAAAAAAACAAAGGGGGGATGCAAGAAGGAAAGAGGTTAAAATAACACAATAAAGAATAAAACAAAAAGAAAAATATTGAGAAAAGAAACAATCTAGATTATAATAAAAATTAATATTGTTTGTTTCTATAATGTTAACAAAACATAGCCAAGAATATATTTAGGTTTAATCTGTATTTATTGAACTTACCACGTGTATTTTCAACCTTAAGTAGTGTGTAGTGAAATTTAGCTGAGAAGGGGGGGGGGAAGAAAGAAGCCTTATATACTAAGATCTTTATTTACACACTACCTTGGAAACCCAGCTTTGCCTGAAAGATAAACTTTCTAAATTTTAGTAAGTTTCTTTTAGAATATTTTAACCAAGCTAAGATCGTACAATTTCTTCTGAAAATGAATAAATATTGAATATATCTTTTTGGAGAGTTTTATGACAATTGTATAAATATCTGCTACCTTATTCAGTTCTTTCTGTAATTTCGAAATTACTTAAAATTTATATTTACAGAAATAATGTATGGAAATGATTTTTAAAAAAATTATATAAAATATGATTTAATTTCTTCAAAAACCCCTTCTCTTAGACTGCAGCAAATTCCTGTGATTCATGCATATTATATATATATATATATATATATATATGCAAAAAAAATCATTTCTGACACCCCTAGGCTTTGTACGCCAATATAATTCACCAAAACCATACTGCAGTCCTTCAATTATCATACAGGGAAATTTTCATCTTTCTAAACATCCCAACGAATGATTTGACAGGTTCTTTTGCAGACATTAGATATTTCAAACTTTGAATTCTGTTAGATCAAATAATCTGAGTTTGAAATATCAAAAGTTTACAACATCGAGTTCTAAAAATATTGAGGTTTAAATATTTGATTTTGTTCCAAAGACTTGCAATTCCTTTATGAAATTATTTAAAGATTACAAACTAGAAATTCAAAACATCAACCTTTAATTAACATTTGCATATGAATTAAACAAGTTCTAAAGAAATCGCAAACTTCGAAAAAACACAGACTGTCAGTTCTTGATATGCATTTCGATAACAATATTATCATCATTTTTCCTGCCTGAAATAATTAAAAGATAGACAATTAATTCAATTTTTTAATTTTCAATTTAACAAATAACGTAAGAAAATCAATGATGTCTGGGGTTTGACCCAAATGATGCAAATATAAGATAAAAAAATGATTGCTCATTAGGCGTTGGTGATAAAAACTTGCAAGGTGAGATGTAGAAAACCCTTTCACAATAGTAATTAGCCAAATCAATTCTTAGATCGAACACTCGAGAACCAATGTGGGCAATTTTAAATTAATTCCTAAATAAAATGCTTTATCATGAATTCCTTCAGAGTAGGACCATCACGGGACATCGAATAGGAATTTAAGTAAATCCCTAGATCTGCAGAAGATGGAGATTAATGCTTAAAGGGAGTGACCGGCTATGTAAGGCAATTGAACTGAGCATGCAGTGTTGTCGAAAACTTCTTGAGGATTCATTTGAGACATATTTCACTTTTTAAAGATCTGTAAATCCTGAGCTTGAGCGCAAATTCGACGTTCAAAACTCCTGATTTGGGGGTCGATACGCTTTCAGAATTAGCATTTTTTAAATTATTAAATAACGACAACGAAAAATAAAGTAAAAATTATACAGTAATCTAATTAGATGGCTAGGAACATATTTCTCAAAAGAAATTTGTCAATAAATCAATGCTAAAATCGATTATTTCGTTTTCATTATTATATTGAATTTCTAATTTTCTTTGACTTTATTCGCAGATTTCTTCAAATTCTTTAAATGTCGTCTTTTCAATAATAATTATAGAAAATCTGCGAACATCTTTGTGAATAACGAGAAACTAGAATAATGAGATAATAGAAACTAATAATTGAACAAGATTACTTATTTTCGATGATAAGATTAATTTTTCTTTTCTCAAAATGTTCCTAAACATGACGTCTGTAGTTTATTGTAGAATATTTTTACATTTAATGTCGTCGTTAATTAATAATTTAAAAAAAACTAATTCTGAAAGCGTGTCCACCCCAAATCAGGAGTTTGAACGTCGAATTTGCGCTCAAACTCAGGATTTACAGACTTTTAAAAAGTGAAACATGTCTCAAATGAATCCTAAAGAAGTTTTCCACAACACTGCATATACTCAGTTTAACTACCTTACATAGCCGGTCACTCCCTTTAATCCAAAGATTCACAAATCAAAAGTACTCACTTCATTGGTCTCTGGACAGTGACAAACATTTAAATATTCCTAATCAAGTTTTATTTTACAGAAATCAAATATTTCTTGAACTCATGGAAAATGAAACAGTTTCAAGAATTTTCTTTTAAACAATGGTCAGGAACAAGGTTATAATGCAAGGAAAGTTATTTCAGAGGTGTACACATATTTTGTTCTGCAGTGCTGTTGGGCGGTAATGTAACCCCAAGACGGATGTCACAGCCTGACATGGGATCCATCTTTCACATAAAAAAAAAACAATGAAATATTTTGGTCAGAAGGAAACTATTATGTGAATTATCAAATTTCAATGCTTTTATCCTCATCGGATACTAAACGAACACTGATGCATCTATTCTTATTTACAAATTCCGCCCAGAGATAACTGGTTTCAATATATGCGCAGAGTATACGCAACGGAAATTAACTTTCCTTGCATTATAACCTTGGTCTGGAATATTTTTTATCTGGGTTGAAGTTTTAATTGAAAGCTAATTTTCCATAATATGCAAATATTGTTTGACATTGTATTGAAAAAAAAAACAACACATGGCATAATTGCATAATTCATTCCCGGCTAAGAATATATAATATGATATTATTCAACTTTTATGCAATGAATGATTTAGTAAAAATGATTCAGTATTTTTGAATCAATTGTTAGACTTAGATATTTTCTTCGAAAATATATCTAATTAAAATCAGAGATTCAAAAAAAAATTAAATTAACTTTTTTTGTCTGATCATAAAGCTCACAGTTGGCCTAATTAAAGTCTCAATTGCCGTCTTTAAGGTCTTCAAAAACAGCGTTGAATGCTTTATTAATAATCTCTGCAGTAGCGTCCCTGATGTCCCCGAAAAAAACTTGAATCCTTTAATTAACACTAAGCAAAAATTTGTATCCTTGAACAAAAAAATTTAAAACAATTATTTTTGCACATATTTTTGCCGGGTTCCAAAATTTGTTATAGTCTAAGAAAGGCAAATGTTAAAAAAAAACTATTTTGAAATAATTGGCTTTTTTAAATTACTAGGGTTTTAGGGCTTTAGGGCATCTTCTATTTAAATTGTGAACATGTTCTTTTTGTTTACATTTAAAAACAAAGAAGAAAAAAATTTTGTGGATTTTTTAAAAATAATTCGCGGATTTTCAAGAATTTAAATTTGTTTACAAAATTAAAAACCTTTAAAACACTTTTTTTTTTTAATTTTTATCATTCATAAACCTTCTTTGGGATAACGCGAGGTGCCACAAAAATTTGGGCCCGATCGGTTCAGCCGTTTTGACGTTTATTGGATACAAACAGACAAACAGACAAGCCAAATTTATATATGGATGCTAAATTTGGACCTTGAAAAAAAATTAGACAACAAACCAACTTAATGCACATACTAGCTGTGAATACGGATGTGGCAAAGTACTGATCACTTATTGATTGATTTGTTGCTTAGGTTTGGTGATTGATTGATTGATACCGATGCATCTGGTTTGCTCCGACCAGATCAGCTGGAACCAAAATAACGAAGACGACTGCCAGCAAACCACAGTAAGTTATATATATATATATTGATTTGACTAGTTCATTTGTTTCTCTGTCTGTATCCGATAAACGTCAAAACGGCTGAACCGATTAGGCCCAATTTTTCTTGCAACTTACATGACCTTCTGGCCCATGTTATGGAGCGTCAAATATGTATCATTGTATCCGTAAAAAATGTCGTTATTTATAACTTTTGAAAATGCGCCAATTCAAACAGAAATGTAAAATAATGTATAAATTCAAACTCTCGTTGTACAATCTTTTAAATTATGTTCGTCATATTTTTGGCGCTAATAATATAATATCAATATGCTATTACTGTTAAATTTTAAAAAAAAAAGATTTCTAAAAAAGATGTCATAAAAAAGCTTTTAGCATTATTTTAAATTGATCAGCATTTTTTATAAGTTTTACAGGCGGCCAAACAAGAAAATTAACTTTGTATCATTGTAAAAGTTGTTAATAGAAGGAAAATATTACATGTCTGTTACAATACAAATTTTGTTTACAAAAGCTGTCAAAAAATCACAAAAAAAAGAATATATTGTGTAAAAAAAGTTCAAAAGTCTTTCTTTTGTAATCCAATTTAGGGAGTTTTTAACAGAAGTTTAAGTTTTCTTTATGCAGAAAAAAAAAATTATATTCATTTAAAACTACAACTTTAATCTTTTGAGTCGTACTTTTTTTACATATTTATTCTTTTTTAATTAATTTCTTTTATGTTTTACACTTTTTGCAATTGTTTGTACATTAATGGATTAGGATTTAACAAAAATTCACTTTGTATTTTTGTTAAAAAAACTGGAATTAGTTTCTTTTTATTAGTGTTGGCAAAGTGCTGAGAGATATTTTAGTTTGGACACTAAACATATCTCAGAACACTTATAGTGCCTATTTTCTAGCACAAATGGATGCTTACATGATATCCGGAACAAAAGTTCGCATCTTCAAAAGAAACTGAGTATTTGTCACAAAATCAAATTTTCTCATACCTATATATTTGTAACCTGATGTTGTAAACCCTTGTTTTTTAAAACTATTTATTTAAACATAATTCATGGTTTGAAATTTCAGAGGTTTATGACATTGGGCTGCGCTTGCAAAGATAAAGAAAATCAGATCTATCTGTAAGAATATATTTATCGTGATTGAAAACGGAGAGGGAAGGTTAAAATGTGATCTCTTGGTTTAACTGTACGGTCCAATTGTCCTGAAAAGCTGCAACTTTCGAGTTTCGAATACAATTTGAACGAATAAACATGAATAAATCGCTTATAACTTTTAGACTTTTTTTGTCAGCAGATGCGTTTTAAATAAAACAGTTTTAAAATACTCGTCTTCAAAGAAATTGAATTTTATAATTCTTATATATTTGCAACTTATTAGTAAGCGTACTAACCTTAGACATTTCAAACTCAGATTATTCGAATTAATAGAATTCGTGCAGTTGGAAATATCTAAGGTCTACGACATTTGGGTCCAAAAAAAGGCGTCAAACCTTATAGAAATTCAACTTATAGAAACCGCTACGTATAGCAACAAGGGGTATTTTCCGGGAGAACATTTTTTATATTTTTGAGAAATTAAATAATCATCTTTGCAACCCAATGCTGCAAACCTTAAATATTTCAAACTATGAATTCTGTTAGATCAAATAATCTAAGTTTGGAATGTAAAAAGTTTACACCATCAGGTTGCAAAGATAAAGAAATTTTAAAAGTTTGTGGCAAAGACTCAATACTTTTGTTTAGCCTATGTTACTCTCCGGGCACAGTGTAAAGTAGATATAGTTTTCATAAAATCCTTTTATTTAAATGGTAAAACGGAATTTTATGAAATCATATTAGCATTACTGGAGAACTTTTTTATACTTTTAAGATTTTTTTTTTTAAATAAAACTGTAGATAGCATTTTTATTAAATATCTTTTTTAATAGTAACACGCAATTTTATGTATAACCATATAATCATTCATTTTTGTTGTCAGTACATAATAAAATCCATGGGGGACCTTAAACTCAATAGAGAGCAGTACAAATGTACGTATTAAACTATTTGGCTCCTTTAATGTCTAAGGTATTTAAAAAAAATAGTAATTATGATAATGATAATGATAAGCTACAATGTTTTATAAAAACGTTTAATTCTCAAAAATATAAAAAATGGTCTCCCGGAAAATACGCCATGTGGCTATACGTAGCAGTTTCTTTAGGTGGAATTTCTATAAGGTTTGACGCCCCAAAAAAAGATGAGAAAATCCGAGTTTGTGGCAAAGACTCATTTCCTTTATTATTGATAAATTTTAATATAAGAAACCAACAAAACTCACCTAGTCCTGGTTAGTTAGGGCGGGATACGAAATCCAAACTTCATATATTTTCTTCATTTTTATTTTTTTAATCGTTATTTCCGCACTGAAATCTTTATAAGAATCTTTATTAACAATTGGTAGACGCATCACGCAGCTACTGTAGTGAGGGGGGGGAAGGGGGGGGGGGTCATAACTTAAAGTAATCTGGGAAATTTCCACTGAACTTAAGAGGATAAGGAAAACAGATTATTATTCGCGAAAAATATTTTAGGTAAATTCTGAAATTCAAAGTTTGAACTTGATGCTGCACCAAATAACACAAGCGGGGTACACGCAAACGTTTCTTTGATATATATTATAATATATTCTAGAGAGGGTTATTCACAGGGTTACCCACAAAGGATGAGACTTCAGAAACGATTGTACGGAATGTTTTTAGTCCCTTTTCTTGCATTTAGGTTTCCTTGTAGGCCAGAGGCCGAATTTAAAGAATTTGAGCCGCGGCTTAAATTTAAGCCGCGGATCAAATATTGTTTCTTCCACTTAAAATTGTATTGAATTTTTCAAGATTTAATCCGGCGCTCAATCGAAACCGGTTTTGGGGGGATTTGAGACGCGGCTTAAATTCATTAAATTCGGACACAGAACTGAGGCCGAATTTAAAGAATTTGAGCCGCGGTTTAAATTTAAGCCACAACTCAATTGGTTGGTTCCACTTAAATTTGTAAAAATTTCAAGATTTAAGCCTGCGGTCAAATAAAACTGGTTTTTGGGGCAGTTAAGACGTGGCTTAAATTCATTAAATTCAGACACTGGTTTATTTCTGTACTTACTCATTATGTAAACCCTCAAAATACTCAATTGTATGCAGAAACTAAAAATCTAGCTTAAAATCGTCATATTATTAGTTTTTGGTTGACTTTACAGTCTCATCCTTTGTGGGTCACCCTGTATAAAAATAAACCCTCCCCAATATCTTACCCCCCTCTCCTCAACCTAGCAGGTTTGAAAGGTAGATAGCAGCGTGTCGCGGTCAATCTGATATATGAAACCAATGGAACCAATACAACCGGAGAAGTTATTAGACCTGAACGTTATAGTTTTTTAGTGTTAAAACAAAGGTGGTTACGCCAATACACAAACAGTCAAACTCATAATAATATTAATATCATAGTTTTTCCGGCGTTTTTGTGAGTTCAGATATATGGTCTAATCAGTGAAAATGATTTGGTGAGAAAACAAATAGAATTGCAATGTTTAAGTTTAGATTAAAGGTAACTGGTAACGTAAGCAAATCGAGTGTTAAACTATAGTAAATGACAAGTTAGATTGAAATCTTAAATGTTTACAGAAAAAAATGTTATGAATTTCTTAGCTTTTAAGTATTTGAATAAAATTGATCTTCTCATAAAACTTGTGCGTAAAATTAAAACTAGAGAACTAAGAAGTCGCAAAGTCGTGGCGTTGCTTGAATTTTATCTTATCCGTTTGTCTAATATAGTTTGAAAGTGAAATGTTCAATTATCAATGAATGGTTGAGTTTTGAAAATAATCCGAACCATGACGAAACAATTTTTATCTCGAAGGTTAATTATGACGAAAGTAAAAAGAATAATTGTATTTATGGTGACACACCCATGATTCAGTTTCATTGACAGCTCGTCGTACAGAAACATATATAAAGTTAGAAATATGATATGTTAAGAACTTAAGTTAGTGATGCTCATGCAATGTAGAAATTTTAATCAACGTTTCCTGTTAAAGTTTTCCTTGTCCTGGCATATATATATATCTTATGTTTTTAAACTTGTGGAAATCTAATTTGATTTTCTGATATTTTATCAAATATTTGTTTACAATTTGTACGTACTTAATTGATTTCAGGTCGATAATCTCTGCAGTTCTTATTAACATTATATCAAAAAACAATTCGCCATTTTGAAAAGAAGACGACATGAAATTTAATTTCAGCATCTGACGAAGACGATGGATAATCCGAACTTCAAGTCTGAGGATCAGCAACATGGTGGGGCTCATTCTAATGGTCTTAGGTAGGAATTTAAAACGTTTTGTTTATTTATTTGATCAAAAGTGATATTATATAAATAAATCATATTATAGATTTAGAGTATACATTGGCAATATTTAAATAAACCATTGAAATATTTAAAGACAGGATTTGGAAAGATTCAGAAATTTCCCCGAATTAATTTGAAATAAAAATTATTCCAAATAACACTAAAATATTTGGTCCGCCTTGCTAAAAAGTTTTTGGAAAGATTTTTTCCCCTTTTAAAAAAATATTCTAAAAGAATTGAGTCTTTGCCACAAATTCAATTTTTGTAATCTATATATTTTTGCAACCTGATGATATAAATCTCTAATATTTCAAACTTACTTGATCTAATAGCATTCATAGTTTGAAATTTCAAAGGTCTGCAACATTGGGGTGCAGCAGGGAGTAAGGAATAGAAGGGAGATATAACTGACGCGGTTCGCCCTACCATATGATTATACATTCTTTGCATACGGTACTTCATTTGTATAAGAAATATTCAGAATAAGTTATTGTATACACAGTAATTGTACATCAGACAAATATTTCTTATACAAATGGAGTACTCGTCTGCAAAGCTTGCATTATCATATGGTAGGGCGAACCGCGTCAGTTATATCTCCCTTCTATTTCTTACTCCCTGGGTTGCAGCGATATTGAAATTAGAAAATCAGAGTTTGTGGCAAAAACTCAATTCCTTTGTTTCAGCAAAACCGGAAACCAATTAATATTAAGTGCTATAATGTTCTCATAAAGTGCTAATTAAACATTATAACTCGATAATTACTTTAAAGCAAGGCTATAAGGCAATATACTATGATGTAAGCATGAATAATAAAGTACAAGACATACTAAATATTATTACAGAATATGGTTTTCATCAATTTGGCTCTGATGTAAAAAGAAATCTTTGCCACAGGAACTGAGTCTATGCCACAAAGTCATGATATTTTTAGTTGCGAAGAAATAGGTATCATTAGAGTTAGTGGCAAAGACTCAATTCCCGTATGAGATATTTTAATTTCAAATGAATAAATTGATTCAGTTTGAAGGTTGGTTTGCATAGATTGCAGATAAACCTGAACCTCTTGAACAAATATTTACAATAGTTCTGAGTTCTGAGGTTCAATATCGTCAACTTATTCGGTCTGAATCCAACCTCGGTTCCATGGGGTTTAATACATCCATTAAAAGTGACTGTTCTTGAAATAATAAAGTTAATGGTTGACAAGGGTATTTACAAATGTGACATGGTTGTTTGTGCACTGTAATCTTGCCAGGCTACATGTGTTCCATAAAGAAAGTCTACTCCGCAATCGGTAGACCAGACTGGGGAGTACGACTGAATGCATATACAGTACATGTTGCACTGGCTCGGATCATGCAACTGGTTTAAATATGAATCTGAATGAAATGCAAGTCGTCTTTGTAATATGTGGTTATAGATCCACGCTATATCAAAAGAACTAAAGTTAAGTTTAACTTAACTCTATTTGTAGAGTGGAATTATGGCATGTGACCATGTGAGATTCACACTTTATGCAGCAATAGAAAAGGAAGTAAATGAAAGAAATCATATTTTTTCAAGACAAAAAAAGCCGGCAAAATTATCCGTTAAATCGATGAAGGTTTAAAGGGTACCATTGTCAATCGGGCGTAAACTTGAAATTCCGCCGACAGTCCCTTTGAGAGTGGAAATTACGTGTATGGAGTATAGTTATGGTAGGTCTACTTCATGCAACAGAATATTCTGATGAACTATAGTCTGAAGGTCTAATTTAATTGTACCAATTATTTAAATTGTGTAAGTTCACAAAAAAAATTAAAGGACCTTTTAAATGATGGTAAGTGGGCTGGGGTCCATCACCACTTTTGTTTGTTTACCAAATAAAAGATAACAGCTATAGAACGCTTAAACTTCTTTGATTTTTCAATTCCAAGAATCACATTTATTTGAGTTGTACTCTGACGTATCCAAGATTTACTAGTTTAAACCAACCCAATTAATATTTTCTGTTAGATTTGACTAGAATATATCTGGAAAAAGTGCAGAAGATCTGGAAATTTTCAGATTTAGGACTTTATTCTACATTCTTTCACTCGGCAGTGTTTCTATAATCTTCCAAGAATATACATATTGATACACAAATTATACAACATAATATTAATGATAAAAAAGCCCTAACACATTTTTACATTTATAGAAAACCAAGTTAAAGTTCACTGCTCTGCTAGTGAAAATTGAAATATGTAAACAGTTAGTTTCTATGTTTATGGTTATCTTTGAATTGATGAAACCAAGATTTATTTTTTATCCTTTACTGAATTGTACCAAAATCATTTCTTTTTACAATTTCTAAAAGAGATATATACAATTCGGCCGGGAAACGTGAACATCCAAGGCCGGTTACCCACAAATATTGAGACTGTAAAGACGACCCCAAACTCTCAAATACGATGACTTTAATTTAGTATAATAGGTCTATAGTCGGAATACCAGCACGACATGCTTTATTCCCATAACGAGTGTTTTACTGCCCTCTAACGGCCTCTAGTTCATATAATATCCTTTCAGGGTTTAAGTTTAAATTTACGAATTTAGTCTATTTTTGAAAGTTTTGTATTTCGTATCTAAAGGATCCTTTCATATACCCGAAGATAGATGTTTTCTGTTTGGTCGTGTACTCCAGTCGTACACAATGGAACCTGTTGTATACATTTTCAGATTCAAGCCTTTAATAGATCTCTGTACTCTCTTATATCTGGAGTATCCTTCCTTGGGATTTGTCTGCTAAAAATGTTCATGGTTAGGTATGGGATCCCTGTATTTTGTTGATAAAAAATGAACTACCGTAAATGAAAGCTGATTTTACCCGGAAAGAAGAATTTCTAAGATGTCGTCTTAGATTTGATAAATCCTCGAATTTTCTCTGGGAAAAGTGCAATTTGGTTATAAAAAAGTGCAGCAGTGTACATTCTAAGAAGTACACAACTTTTCATCTAGCAATGAGTTTCTTTAATTATTTTTCTTGAAACAATGTGATCTGGTTTCTGAGAAATATGTAAATATGTAAAACAAGCAAAATCATTAACATTATCTGATCTCTATCTACAGGGTGTCCCAAAAAACATGGGAATTCAGTGACGAATTCGATATCGTCTTTGTTATAATTAGCATTGTGTTACCTAATTTCAAAAGCCATAATATTATTATGTCTGCTAGAGTTTATTTTATGAAAAGGGTAAAAAGACTGTAAAGATGTGTCTATAATGTCTCCGCAAGATGAACAGTGAAGACGGACAAGTTTACTCTGTTTGTATACTGTAATTTTCTAATTTACTAAGTACAACCGTATGCAGTCAAAACATAATCAAACAAAATGTGAACATAGCAGACGAAACTCTTACAGATTAAAGCTTTCTCAGTAGGCATCACTATGCTAAATCAAAGAATTATTTAAAAAGACGATATCGAATTCGTCACTGAATTCCCATGTTTATTGGGACACCCTGTATCTAAAACCAAGAACTGAATAAAAATAAATTTTGTCCATCATTTTATGCCTGAAAACGTGAATGCAAACCTTTTTTCTAAAGTCTCCTACATAAAACAGTTATGGATTAAGACACATTTTCAGAATTTTCTATATTTGCTGTCAATTTACAAACCAAATACTCTTTTGATTTTTAATATCACTCCTCTTACTCTCCTCAACTAATCTATTCTTCACACTACAGCAGTGGATTCTTTTCACCAAACTACGCTCCTAACTGTATTAAAAGATTGTTGTGATTTATGTATATGTAGTTTTTAATATTTGAAAGTTTAATGTGTGCTGCACAGTGCAAAGGTAGAAATGCACAGTTAATTAGATATAGGAGTTAAAAAGTTAAAATGGAAATATCATGCATTTTATTTGGATTTAAAAAAAGTTTATTTAAGTAAAACATTTAAAAAAAATTGTTTTCTTGAATGTGTTTATTTGTTTATCCAAAATGAATGTGAATTTAGGACTGAAAAGAATGGATAGGAAAGAATAAAAAGAAAGAATTTGTTCAACTGATGTCACCAAATTTCTAAAAATAATAAGAAGATAAAAGGTTATTTCAAAATATATTGCAAATATTTCAATTGCATTTAACTTGTAAAAACCCGATTTCTTAACCGTTAAAGATTTTAAAAAACGTTAATATTGTAAAGGACCGTCAACGGTAGCGCCGTTAACGATTTCTTATATTGTTAACAAAATGTCTTAATCATAAACGAAAATTATCAGTGCTTCGTTAAAGACAAGCGCCGTAATTATGGTTGTTGACAATTTTCCGTTAGCTCCATTAATAAAATTTAAAACGTTATCTAACGATAATTAAAAAAAAAACGGTAAATATCTTTAACAAACGGACGTGCCGTTCTCAAATTTAAATTAACGGCTACTTTAAATTTTACTTATTTTACGGTTGGAACTAACCGTTATTGGAACTAACCCTTATTGGATCGGCTAGAAAAAGTTGGAATGAGCCCAGCCCTAGTTGCCGTATGGCTTGTGGTTGCTGTATGTGTTGTGGTTTCTGTAGATGTTGTAGTTGTGTAAATGTTGTGGTTGTTGTATGATGTTATGGTTAATATTTTATTTTCTTGGGTTGTTGTTGTTTTTTGTTGTCAACACTATTTGTCAACAGACAATTATTTGTTTAGAAGGTTTGGCTAAAATATTAATAGGAGATCAAGGTCCTCTTGGAACCTGGTTCTAATCAGGAGACTGGAGGATATATAAACCCTCAGTAGAGAATACACCGACAATAAACCAACATCTATAGTTAAACACAAAAACTAAAATATCTTTGCAACCCAATGTCGTAAACCTTAAATATTTCAAACTATGAATTCTGATGGATCAAATATTCTAAGTTTTAAAATATCAAAGGTTTATATCATTAGGTTGCAAAGATATAGGGATTTTAAAATTGTAGTTTGTTTGGTATTAAAAATCTCTC